CTGAAGCTGCATGGGTGTCGTGCTGGTTAAACTGTGGCTGATCTCTGTGCTCACATGGCCTCACTATTAATGTGAAGACCGACTGAAACAAAAACAGCCCATCCTGTGATTTTCAAAGTGCACAAAAACTCGTGAAAACATGACTCGTGAAAATTCACTTCATACACACAACATTTGTTAAATTTGCACCAGCACAGAAAGTCTTTTGGTTTTGGCATTATTAATTTTGGTGAGTCATTAGCTATAAGACAAACATTCCACAGCTTATCAGTGTCTGCTGGTACAGACAAGGACAGGAAAGCAGCCCAGCAGCAGTCCAGTCATAAGTCAGTCTGAGCAACAGTGCAGAGGTGTCAGACTGTTGCTCTGATATTATGTGTCTATCAAGGTTATCATAGTTAACTAAAATGAATCAAATAACAAAAACTGAAATTGAGAAAACATTTTTGTTAGCTGAAATACAATAAATGGTAATTAATGGGAGAAAACTATAGCTAACTGGAACTATGTCATGCGTTTATAATACTGACTAAAATATGTTGAAATTATTGTTATGATATCCTTTGTTATGACCCCCTTATGAATCTATTTAATAGCCTTTCAAATTGAAATACATTTCCCCCCCTCCCCCCACACACAAGCAGTTTACGTCAGTTGTCGGCAAATTACAGTACTCCATACTCCTCTGGGTGGCAAAATGGCAACAGCAAAACTTGGGAGAAAACACCAGTCAGTTCGTTGTTCAAAAAATTAATTTTTTGAAAATGGTATCTTCTGTTAAGTATTCATTACTCAATCAATGTATTTATGATCAAAAATGTTTGTTGATTTTCTGCTAAGGTTGGAAAAAAAACACCATTTTGCAATCATGGTGTTCATATTAAATGAGAAATGAAATTAAAATCACGTGTGAATAATTTTTTTTCTGATAAGTTGTTAAATAACATGTAATGTCATCATCCTCCAACTACTTCCTGTTGTCTTTTTCTTTGTGGTTTGCACCAGTAGCAACATCCAGTTGCTACTGGACTTGTGTGATGTGAAAAAGTGTTTTCATTGTAGTTTTGTGAAATAAAGCAATTTTTATACAGCCGAAAAACCACCTCACCCTACCGCCAAAGCTTTTCGTCAAAAAACAAGAGGTTTTTTTTGTTGTTTTTTATTTTGCAATTATAGTCAAGGCAAACATAGCTAGTGTCTTGTTGTCACATTTACTTCCCAAACATTCTGAGTTTCATTCAGGTGGTGGAATAATTGTCAACAGAATGTCTTGTAGAAATCTACAGAAAACCATCAATTTTGTGTTTTTACTCTGCTTTTCGTCAGTGCACAGACCATGCAACACGTCATCTACGCGCAACTGAAGCTGTGACCCACATGAATTGGAAGAACTCTGACATTGTCCACGCCTGTCTCTGAGAAGCTGCTGTGGTCAAACCTGCTAAAAGAGACGCCCCAACATGCCTTAGCATGTATGTGAGTTATAATTTTGACAGAAAAAAAATCATGGGCCTATGTACAGAAAAGTTTAACTTGAAAATAACTGGGCCCAGTTCCTGAACTCGTCTTTGTGAATCAGTAAGAGTACACGTCATAAAGCGGCTGCTGCCACAAGGTGAGATGATACATAAACTGCCTTTTAATTCCAACCAGCTGCGACTGGTTGGATGCAACCCAGGGGGCATCTTCACTGGAATCACAGACGACTAACTTCCTATTAAAACTTTGGCTAGAAGTATTTTACCTCACAGCTCCTCTATGCAGGTTTTAACATGGTTAACAGGACTTCAAAAAGAGATCTATAAAGACTTACATTTGAATATGTGACATTTTGGTATTAAAAGCAGGTTCTGTTATAGTTTGTTTTTCACTGAGACATTCTGGTTGTCATAGTCTGGAGTGACAGCAAACACCCTGGTGGTTTTTCGATGTGGGTAATGTGACTCACTCAGAGGTGGGTAGAGAACCCCAAAAACTATACTCAAATAAGAGTAGCACCACTTCAACATATTTTTACTCAAGAAAAGGTGAAAAAGAGCCATCCAAGAAATTACTCAAGCTCTGAGTGACGTCATGCTTTATTCTTTAATTTACATCACATGTTTTTCTGGTTCAGAAAGCTGGCACTTTCTGAACCATTTGAAAGACGGTTTGTTGCAGTTTATTTTCTATGTTTGATGACGGTAGACAACCTATTTATTTATAGATTGGCTGTTATACTTCTAATTGCACTGACTGAATAAATTAAAGTTGTTATTTTTACATGTTTGACAAAGCTCGTAAAGATATTGTTTTTTGAAAGTTATCAAAAAAAAAAAAAGTTACTCAGTACATTTATGTCTGCATTTAAAAAAAAAAGAAACATTTTAAGTCAACCCAGCACTGTTTTTCTGTATTGAATAGGTATCGGCCGATACTACACCTCAGATGTTAGTATCGGTACCGGTCGTGAAAAAAGTGTATCGGTGCATCCCTAAAAGATGACAAAATGTTAAAGATTTCGAGGAGTTACATCCGTTTACATGGTGTCCTGATAACTGATAGACTCTGAAGCTTGTTACCCACCTATGCATCTAATATGAAAGCCTTGCGGTGGCTGCAGGGTCCTCCTGGTCCAGGCATTCCTGAGCTGCTGAAGATGCGCCTCCTGGCTCTGGAGGAGCAACACGCGCTCGTCTATCCAGCCCAGGAAGAAGACCTCCGACAGAGCCTCGATCAGTGCCTTGTTCCAGAAGTGCTGCATGTTGACGGCTTTAAAGCTGGCGAAGACCTCGTAGCCGGTGTGATGCTCTAACTTTTCCCACACCTCCGCTGCATCTGGCGGCGGTGGTGATGATGATGGTGAACCCTTCTCATCTTCCCCGCAGACCCGCGACAGCACGAGAGCCAGAGAGAGCGGAGTTATGTGGGAAAACTTTTCCATCCCTGCTTCGCTTTCCGACAGAAAACTGACATTTCTGAGCGGGAACCTCGTTATTAAGTTCTCAAACCTCTCATGCGGCCTCGTGTTTCATGTTTAAAGGTAATTTGTAGGAGAAAGCTGACCCTAAGTCAGGTCAGGTGCTCCATGTAAGCAGCCGTCAGATACGCTGCTCCCAGACTGTAACTGTCAAAGAGCATTACGAACTATTTTCAGCCACAAAAGAGGCGAGGACTTTGTGCTGCGTTCAAAAACTCCTCGTAAACTACTACGCTTACATTTTAAACGAGTTTGCACCTCTATTGTTACCGTTATTATTCCGAATGAGAACAGCGAGTTAAACCCCGAACAGGTAACGCACCATTGGACCAAAGAGACATTTCTTTGCGAGAGACAATCAATGCGAGAGAAAAGTCCGAGATACATTTATGAGAGAGAAGTTAGAGATACATAAAAGTGGTTTATTTTGAGGTGGAGGGTAATTGTAGTTTTTGAAAATTCCAAATACATTTCTGAAACGTGTGGCTTGTATTTATACCTCCTATTGCTTAAATTATTTCTGCAAGTCTTTTGTCAAGGCTTTATCTAGTGGCCTTTATGTGAGAGTGGCCAGACAGGAAAGTGGAAGACATGCGACTGTGAAACATGGTTGTCGCAGCATAGGAATTTTAAAAACGTATATTGTTTTCTTTCCAGTTTAGTCATATACATATTTATGTTGCTCTATCAAATACTATAATATGCACATTTACACTGGTTCAACCCTGTCTTACACGTTTGTAAAAACACTATAAATACAGCCTTCTTTATTTCACATCCATTTTATGCATTTATATTTAAAATGTCGAGAAATTGGCAGTAAAACGGAACTGAAGTCCAGTTCTTTGAGTGCACTGATCCTGATCAGCTGGCAACCTGTCTGGGGTGTACCCCACCTCTCGCCCGTTGACAGCTGGAGATAGGCACCGGCACCCCTCCCAAACCCAATGGGATAAGGGTGTAAGAAAATGGATGGATGGATGGATGGATGATCCTAAGCAAATCCAGAGAAAATATATTGAAAATTGTTTTTCGTCATACAGACAATTTGAAGGGATGTACTTTTGCTAAAAACTGCAATGCAGTTTATACATTTCTGTTTTGATTGCCTGATCATGATCAAAGTTGCAACCTCTATAAAACCTGCTGTTTTAGTAACTTGCTTGTCTGGATCGGTGCGTGTTTGGTTAGGTGCTCTATTTTGAGCCATATAAAAGAAAATAAAAACATTTAATCCTTTAGTAGGTAAAAAAAAAACAAAGAACATATATGTACATCCACTTGTACACAAATATATACAGTAACATATGCATAGTAACGACAAGACACCAAGTAATCCAATTAATGTTTTTTTTTTATAATTTTTTTTAATATTTTAAAAAACACTAACTCATTTAACTCAAAAAGGAGTGGGAGGAAAAAACTTATTTACTCCCACTCACTGTTCACATGTAGAAACTGTGTGGTTGCCACTGTAATGTGAGATTTAGTAATTACAGTGTTATGTACACTTTTTTGGTCATGATGCATTTTCTTGTTAAAACCACTGATATCATTACCAAGTTAACATTTTGATAATTTATCAATTATATATGTATACTTTTCAGTTCTGAACTAAATTATATTTATTAATTCTATTAAGGTGTTGGTGCAAACGGTAATCATAATTATCTTGATACAACACCAAGATGTGAAACCATCAGCAATGACCTAAGAGAAATTGTTACAAAAGGTCATCCTACAAGCTGTGGAGTCATTGGGTGTACTTACTTTGTCCTTTTTGTTCCTGTACAGGTTGTCCTGGTTTTTGTATGAAGTGCATTGTCTATCTTAGTGAAGGAATAACATCAGCTTTGTGTTTTGCTCTGGAGCTCAGGATCTGGTTGCCTAGTTCTGACAACACGTTTACCCTTATAAATGTGTGGCTGTTCCAGAGCTCAGCTCCTCCAGGACTCGGCTCCGGAGCTGAAGATGTTTTCTCCAGCTGCCTCTATGTGCTGGTAAACCCCGACCTTCTGACCCTTCAGCCAAACAAGCAACGTCTGAGTGAAAGAGTTTATTTAGAAGAACAAAAACATTCCATCAAGCTCATGATGTAGCTGCTGATAAACAGTGATATTGTATATTGCAAATGTAAAAATTGTCCACCTTTCAACATTGAAGAAACTAAAACAAGTTATTATTGTAAGTGGATTCTCACAAAAGAGAACTTACTGAAACCAGAGTGTGCAAACGTTTAAATTTACGAGAACCTAGAAAAACGATAGAAGTACAACAATCTGACGGTTTCCCTTCATGAGGCCTAAATAGATTTGTTTTGCTCAGATAATTTAAATAAACTGGTACAAAAGGTTTTAAGGCAAGAAAGCTATTATCACAACATTTAGTGAATGGCTTCCATAGCTTCTGTAAGCAATTAAAGAAACATTTGAACCAGAGCACAGACTCTGTCAATTTCGTCCAAGTAAATTTCATTATAAGAAAAAAAAAAAACTTTGTTTGGGAATGAAACACTTTCTCAAGTCAGCAGTTTGAATTTACCCAAAAATAAAAAAAAGATCAGAACGAATCAAAAGTCTGAAAATAAAAGACAACCCCATTTGCGAGCTTTGTTACAGCTCACATGCCGTTCCTGGCTATGTTACACATTATCCACCAAAAGCCTGGCGATGCTTTCACATTATTGTTGGCAGTATGGTTGTTCAATTTAATGTCTGGTGAAACAGAGAATACAGCTTTGAAAATACCTGCCGCCTTTTCAGAATCTGATTGTGCGCAGATACATTTCGACAGTTTCATGATTAGAAAAGTACAAAAACAGTCAAGCTGGCTGAAAAGGGCATTTCCCTGAAATGTGTAGAGTGTAAACAGTAAAGTTGCAAAGATCACTGAGAACTGGTCAGTTGGAGTTTCTTGGTCTTGATGGCCACATAGAGCATACAGTGTCATGAAAAAACATTCGTCCTTTACAGAGTTTTACTGAATTTGGACTCATTTAAAGCAGATTGTGCTGGCAAAGATAATTCTACTGAGTATGAAATACAGTTTATAATTACACCACTTAAATCATAAGTTAACTAGCTAACCACTCTGTTGGGTTTACTTCCACCATCTGATAGTCTCACTGAATAATGAGATCAAACTACAGTTAGAGCCAAAGTTACTATGACAACGCTTTAACGGCTCATCTAGGAGGTCAAAAAGAACCCAGAACATCTGAAGACCTGCAAGCATTCCCGCCCCTGCTAAGATCAGAGGTCATGATTCCATAATTATGACCCCCCCCCCAAAACCCCCCCCCCCCAAAAAAAAAAAAAGACATCTCGATGATCCATGAAACTGTTGGAAAAATATTCTGACCAAAGTGAATGCTTTTGAAAGAGCTGTGTATTGTGTGACATCTGGTGTAAAACTAGCAAAAAAGGACATTGAACACACAGTGAAACACTGTGGTGGCAGTGTGATGGTCTGGGACTGCTTCGGGACCCGGATAACTGTTACTGAGTGATGAATTCTGCTTTTTAATAAAAAAATAAAATAAAAGTTTAGCCATCAGTCAGCATTGGCATAGTCAAAGTCTGAACTTAAATACTACCGAGATGGGCTGACATGATCTAATAAAAGCCATTCATTCCTTCCTTTATTGTGGATGAATTCAAATAATCTTGCAATGCTAACTAAATGTATCCCATTACTTAATAACACTCCTATTTCCCAATATTGTTATTCCCTGATCAAGGAGCAAACTCCATCCTCTCTTATAAGAGCAGACAGGCCTGATCTGAGATCAGAACCACAATCAGTCAAAATAGGATGCAGTATAAAAGTTTGAGAAAACTATTTATAAAGGAAGTGTTTTTATGCTCATCTCCATGACTTTTCAGAACGCTTAACTGCCTAAAGAAATTTACCGAAACTCAGTGACTAAATATGAAATTGGTTTGTTTAAAGGTACAAGGTAGAGTGAAACTAGATGCCTGTTGTTTGAGTTTAGCCTGAAAACGATTTAAAAAATAATTATAGAAATTCTGAAAAACAAAATAATAATAAAAAAAAAACAGGCACATGTGATATAAAATACTGAACACTATTCATGTCAGACATACACAACACAAAGTGAGAAACCTATAATGCCAAGCCTATTAAATTAAAAGTATCCTGAAGTATCACATTTTCTCTCAAGAAGTGTAATTTTCACCTGAAATCATGTGGAAAAGCACAACCCAATCTGTAATCACGTCTGCCAAGCTCAGGTCTCTGCTGTGAATTCAACATCAAGGGCAGAAATACATCTCTTTGGTCAGCATCGATACAATGCATGGGATCTGCTTCCTGGCATTAAACCCTGATGAATTGGACACAGACTCAAACTCTACTGCCACCTTGTGGTTTACTCGTGTCATGATGTGCAGAAGCTCCAGTTCCCTTCCGTATTTGCTGATCATGTCACACAGCGACTGGATAAACCAAGAGCCTGTCATTGTGTTCCTCCAGGAGTAATAGCCTACGACAATCACAGATTAATCTTAATTAGTAATGTTTTAAAACAACAACAAAAAAAAATTACCAGTTTGAAAACTTATGGGCAATTAACCTGGCGCAGTGGAGAAGGCGTAGAGGAAGTCTGCTTCCACAGGGATCTTTGCGGTTTCGTCTGCACTGTCGGCTTCAACACCCGGATCAAGATCGGTGCCTCTGCACGCCTAATCAGAACGGACGAGACAAAATTTTCTATAAATAATATGACAAACAAGAAGAAAGAAAATCAAAATAAAAAAAATCTAAGGATTGGCCTTGCCTACCTGGATAAAGAAAAGTTTGGGTTTTCCCACCAGAGTTTTACAGCGATCGCCTCGGTATAATGAGGTAAGGCTCTGGAGCTGCACCGGGCCATCGGTACCGAAGATCACGCCTTCATCACCGTGGCTCAGCAGAACGCAGACGAACGAGGCGGAGTTGCTGTGATCGTGCATAGATGCTGCAAAAACAAAGAAGTCAGCAAAAAGAGTCGCCACTATCGTCCATTAACAGAACTGGTAATGCTGTCAACAAAAATGTGCTCCCCTTACAGATGTTTTGCAGTTTGTTTATTTTTTACAGCATTTAACATTTTTCAGATCATACAACAATTCTTAACATCAGACAAAAGTAAATTGGAATAAGTACAATACAATTTTCAAATGATGATTTTACTTTTTAAGAGAAAACCTTCTCAAGTCTCCAGGCTGAGAAATGTCAGTGTCTCTGTTTGTCCTGATTGGGGCCTGATGCTTTCTGAGATCTTTCAGCCTACTTCATGTTACCAGGCAGGTTCTGCTTCACTAATGTCTTTATTAACCTGACAGTTCAAGCAGTAATCAGGCCTGGCCAGTGAAACTGAACCAAAATAAATAAATTTAAAAAATGGGATCAATCACCGTCCGCTGCTGATTGAAACCCTGCCCTACTTTCACATGGGGTCACATTGCTTTGGACAACTTTATAAATTCAACAAATGAAATCATCACTTGAAAACTTCTTTTTTAATGTTTACAAGGGTTATTCTTTGTCTTAAATTAAAATTTGTAATTTTAAGTGACAAAAAAGCAAAAGCAAAAGAAATCTGTTAAAGGACAAATGTCTTTCCACAGCACCGTGCAGGTAACTTTCCCAACAGGGAGGTTCTCAAATCTGAAAATACAAGTTTTCTTTTGTACTTACTTGCACTTAAAATCTTCATCATCTGATCGGTTGTTTGATCATTGTAAATCTTCACTGCATAGCCCAACTTCGTAAACACTTTACACACATTGGCTGCATCAACGTCAGTGCCGTTTCGTTGATTCATACCTAAAAAGACAAAAAGAGGCAAAACAGACTGAAAAAAAAAATTATATATATATACATTATTAGTTTTTTTTTTAAGGTGGGAAGTTTAACCCGATTTCTACAAGTTTTGATTGATGCACAATTGAGAGTTCTGGTAAACTTAGTGCAGATTTACGAAGGATTTATTGTGGTGGTGGTGGTGGCAGCATCATGCTTTGAGTCAGTTTGTGTGCTGGAATAAAATATGTCAAAAATAAGAAACAACAAGACCTGCTATGATATGCTGATATTATTAGCAATGAAGAAATAAAAGACTCATGTTTACTATAATCAAGTGAACGTAAATTATTTGTCTTTAAAAAGACATATTTACCTCCTTCCAACTCACTGTAATATTCCTAATTTAAGGTATGATCATAAAGGGAGTCAATTTATTTTAAGAGTTGAAAATCTTCAACTTTTCACAAAAAATTGAAAAATTGGAAAGTGTTGGAAATTTTAAATAGCCACAGATACTGTAAGTCAGTAGTTTCAGATGATATACCAATGCCTAATGAATACACAAATCCACCTAAAATAACACATTGAGCAGGCGTATTTGTTGAAGTTGCATGTGCCCAACTCTGCAATAAAACAACATAATAAACCAGGAACTGCTGCTAGTGCTTACCCAACTCAAACAGTAATCTATTAAAAGTGTTTATTGAACCAAGTGTGCTCTTTCAGTCCTGCTAGACAGGTTTTCAAGACATAGTCTGCTCAGTGAGAACCACAAGCATCTGTCCATCTGTCCGACTGAGGCTACGCTCGGTAGTGCTAGTAACCAAATTACCTCCAAATCAACAAAGGCGCTCACTAAAGCGCACGCATTCATACACAGATATACAGATTAGTGGGCAACTTTGGGTAATGAATTAAAGAATTGAACCCACAACCTTCAATTTCATTCTACTCTACTCTACCCAAGGATGTATCTCTAAGTTAAAATAGTGTGTGAGTCATGCATACCTGGTGCACCGATTACAAAACTATCGGACAAGTGGTGCAGAGTCAGTGACCTGTATCTTTTGTTTTATTTCTGAAAACTGTCAGCTTGAAGCTGAATAAATTCAAACAAGGCATGTTGGACTTCACTCCAGTGAGCAGTATAGTTTGTCCTTATGCATTTGTCATGCTTCCTTTAAAAAGGGTGAGAAGCACACAGTGAAAGGTTTGAAAACCAATGCCCTGAGGGAAGACTTCCAGATTTGTAAAGTGCATTTTAGTCTCAGTGAAATTTCTCACACACACCCAGTTCAGTTTGAAGTTTAGACACACCTACCGTAATGCCATGCTGCAATTCAAGAAGTCCAACTCCCGCTCAGAAAGCCATGCGTGTATAGAGCAGCATTCTGACGAACAACTAAGGATGCAAACTCTGGAAGGTATTTACAGGAATCCACAGAATGAAAGTGTTTGTTGTTATTTCTCTAACAACTGTCACCACAGGAACGGATGACTGAACGCCTAATTAAGTATCAGGGGATGCAGGTAAATGGTTTCAACACAGACACTATTAAAGATCACAATGGATCTATGGCTGACATTTCTGCAGCAGGCAGGCATGACAAATCTTGTTGTTTCTTGTCCAAACCTTCTCGGTCTGGTCTCTGACTTCAACTCTAAAACATCTAATATGGGATGTCCCTCTGATGTTCTCATTCCTGATCCTATCCTTCCTCGTCACTCCTGTTGGTTCCCGGCCATCACGACCTGAACTACATACAGGGAATAAAAACTATTAATCCCAGAATGCACTGCATTAACCCAGTTCCAGTTTCTAGGAGGAAGAGGAGTTTCACTGTGTGAATATGGGACATCTTGTTTTAACAAAACCTCTGTCCTTGAAGGAAGTCACCCTCTTTACTGCAAAAGGATTACAATGGTGAAACATTGCAGTCCCTCTGCTGGCCAAAAGGAGGACGCCACTTTGGCTATATTCTGGCTGAAGTCTCGACTCTGGCTTACTTAAAATTCTGCAGAAAGAATCTTTGAATTATAGATTCCCCTAAATGAGACTCTGATCCTGTTGCTGAACCGACACTGCTTCCATTTTCCTGGAAGAAGACGCTGCAGCTCCACAAGCCTGCTGTACAGGTACAGGGCCAAACCGAGTCAACCTTTCCCAACCACTAACTGGGCAGCCACTGCAATCATTACCATACTCACATCTTTCACTGCCCCAGGCTGGACTGGGGTCCCCCGCTTGCTGAGTGGCAAACACTGCCATTTTCTCCAACTGCAAAGACTCTCTGATCATCCCATCATGTCTGTTCTCCGTTGCACAACTCACACACTACCGGAGATCTTTTTTGTTCTTAAGAATCTCTAAAGTAAGGCTTTGTGTCTGGGCAGAGGGAAATTAGTTTAGTATAAAACAATTTAAATAGTTTCTGATCATCCATTTCATTGTTTTTGTTGGGTTTTGCAGGGTTCCATCCTTCAAACTCCTTGGTGCAAACAGGCCACTGAGCCTTTGGTTGGTTTGTTTAAGAGACTATTGACTGAAAGAGTAGTTTTACAACATGAGCTTATTCCATTTTAATCAAACATTTTTCCTTTTCTCTTTTCACAAGCCAACATGATTTAGCAGACATGCTAACCCGTGTCCATTATCTGAATCCAACAGGTAAAAACCTGCTATCATAAACAACATTGTACAAGTCATCACACGCCTTTTGTTTGTACTTTGCCACATCTACCTTCATCATACACTGTAGCTGTTCACTCATCTGGGAGTCTTGACTCCTCAAAAAATCCACAACACTTTGTTTTGTTTTCACTATCTGGTCCTCTGCTCTGCATTTGTTCTCTTCACCATCAGCTTCATCTTCCTCTTCTGGAAGAAGGTTTGTACTACGACCATCTCCTTTTCACAAAGTCCACCAACATATATCCCTCTCCTGTCCTGGATCCCAAACCTGCCCTGGATCCCAAACCTGCCCATCACTTTCTTACCACCTCTGTTCCCTTCACCAACCTGTCTGTCAAAGTCTGCACCAATCACCCTTCTCTGAACTGTGAGGTAACTCCACGTCACACCATCTAGCTCACTCGAGACCATCAGCTTCTCATCTAACTCACATCTGACCTGTAGGGCATGAATGCCAACAAACACTGATCATCATGTCTTCAATTTCGAGCTTCAGAATCAGTCTGACAGTCTTTTCACTTGCACAATGTTCCTAAGAAACCAATAAATGAGGACACCAATTTTTAAGGACAAAAGAAAGGAGATGGCAATAGAAATGGGAATAGAGGGTGAAATACAGATATTTTCTGTACTCTACTTTCTTACCTACACAGACCTGGAAAATAATTAATTTAAATTCTAGACCTTTCCACACCGTAGGAACCCTGGACATGAAAAATAAACACTGAAGCTTCGTCATACACTTAAATAATGTAGTGAAATTCTAACTAGAGGTGCCACACAGAAACCAGAGATCAGACACATTTAATAAGCATCTTCAGTTGCCTTGGGACTAAATCTCACTTTAAATCTGCTTCTGATTGGTCAGTTGCTATCTGATGATTTTCTATCATGGGTAAATCATTTCTATTTTGAATCTAATTTTTAAGGCAGTCATAGGGACATTGAGCTAATTCATGGATCAATAATGTGCTTATTTGAGCAATAACAAGTGTAACTGGTTGTGAAACAATGAGGTTCCGCAAGAATAAACCAGCAGACCAACACCCTTTCTGACACATCAACCATTTTAGATATTGCTTATCACTTTCTGCCAGCAGTTTTACTCTGAAAGAACTCAGAGCAAACAAAACAAGCTCCAGTTAGAACCCAAGTGATTCCACGACTTTAACATAATCAGGGGAAGGAACACCCAATATTCTACATCATCAAAAACCATAAAAAATGAAAGAAATCAGTAGAATTAGATAAAAAAAAAACTTTTGGATATTGATGTCAGGTGATCCTATCAGGCTTTAATGAAGATTTGACAAGCATTCTGTTACGTGTGCTCCAGCCTGACAAAAGTAATTTGCATTTATTTTACTAAACAAAGTAGTTAGTAGTTCTTTAGAAAATGTATTTTATAATATACACTACTGGGATAAAGTGTTTGCTCCCTTACAGTCTACTATTTTTGATTTTAGTCAAACTGAAATATGTCAGATCAAATTCATTTTATTATGCAATATCAGACACAGATAACACTTTATGTGTTATACATTTACTAAGGTCATCTTTATGGAACAATAAACCTAGTTTATTCATCTGAAACAGTTCATGGTGACAAAAGAAAGTCAAAGCAGGAGAAACTTACTTTGGAGTAAACTATTTGTCCATGCACTGTACATGGCAAAAACTGCAAAATGGTTTCATACATGACTTACAAAGCATGTATAGAATTAGCAATCACATTACAATAATCCTCCAAACAAGGTGGATATCTTTAAATTCTGTTATTTAGAACAACTTAGTACTCCAATGGAACTGTATACAATAATCTCCCTTATAGTTGTTGGAACGAAGTATCGATAAAGTATCATGTTAAGTTTTTGTGTTAAAGATGCAGAGAAACTGACTATGAATTAAGTCTTGTTCACACTAATAAACAAAACAACCAGGTGATAAACATATATAAAAGATTTGATCATCGTTGTAAAATTTTATATATATTTTTAATTAGAGGAAAACATGCAAGTGTTGCTCGCATAGATTGATTTAAACATTTCTTCCTAATATTTCTGATCCTTCATCACATATGTCCACTGTGAGCATCACAGGGAGTGAAAGATCATCCAACAAGTAAACATCATTGACATGAATGACAGTTAGTTACAATATCCTGCCAAATATTGCATGCAAATAGTCCTTGATAGTCACACACTAATATTGTGATCCTAGCTGCAGTTTGATACATTGAGCTACTGTTTTTTTTTTGTTTTTTTTGTTTTTTTTTGTTTTGTTTTTTAAATACTACTTCTCTATTGGGGATTTTATTTTCTCCAAGTAAATACAAAATCTTACGTAAAAAAAAAAAGGCTTAAAACTGTATAGGTATAATAAGCTTCTGCCTACCATTTTTGGTCTCTAATTTCTATAACTGCAATGGAGTATATTTTCAGTTTACATGAGTTCTGCAAATGGTTGTACTGTTTTAAAGTAATCATATCACTGTTGAATTAATATGCACCAATGTCAACAACTAAAATGGTACAACTGTAAAATGTTAACTTCCTTATTTAGAATGTGAACAAAATAAAATGTGACCCAATTCTAAATTTTCTATAAGTAGATGGATGACATTTCCAGTCAGTATCGTTCATTCTGACTGAAAACATAAGAACTAGTCAGAGGCTAAAAAGAAATAGGATAAAGCATCACCTGTGCGCCTGTCAAAGTTCTTGTTGTTGATGATGATGCACTGGCCAATGCTGGGGTAACGGAGGCTGTATCTGAAACTGTGAGAATGAGGCTTAGCATCAACGTCCATGGGCGAAGGAGCAGACAAAGACCCGGCTGGCCTGCAGAAGGACAAACCAAACCACAGTTCATCATGTTATTGATTAAAAACAACATTAAGTGATGCAAGTCAGAAAGTCAAACCGACAAATGAGGAACACGGAGGTTCCGAGAGGACTCGGAGTCTGTTCTACTGACTTGAGCATGACAAAGAAACAATGACCTGCTCAGGATAAAGGTCGCAGACAGCTTCAATAAACCATTGACTCACTGTTTTCCATTATCTTGCCTCGCATCTGTGGTGTCCCCTTCAGGGCCTGGTCTTCTTGCGGACATAGTTCTAAACAGGATAAAAAAAAGTGCCAACCCGGACGGAGAAACTACACGGCCTGAACGCTTAACAGAGGCACCAACTGCGAAATAAAAATGCACGCAGACGTAGACGTCGAAAAGAGCGAGTGGAGGAGCATTTAGCTGCTCTTACCCGCCCAGTAAACAAAGATGCCTACGTCATGCTAAGATGCGCTTGTTTTTTCCGTGCGGACATCCCGTGTTAGTTGGTGTTAGTCATCACGGGAAAACCAGGGTTGAACCGCAAGCGTAGACCTCCTGAACTGCAGTCAGGCAGGTTGTGTTGTTTTAACGATATATTTTCGACGTTGGCATAATAAATGATCACGTGTATAAACGTCAAAATTTAATGTTTTTTTTATAACGAGAGCCATTTTCTCTATAGGGCTCTCATTGTAACGTGATAAATATGTATGTCGTAATAACCTCATATATTGTATGGAAAACGTAAAAAGTGCATTGTTAAAACAATAACGTTTTCAAATTAAAACGTGATAGTTGGCAGCGAAGCTTAGCTGCTTGGAATTGGAGACAGGACAGGAGTTCTGGCATGTTATTCGGCACTTTTGTTCACATAAACAAGATATTTATTACGTGTGCACTTAAGTCTAATTATAGAAAAGAATTGTTGGAAAATATTTTCTGTAAATACGTATGTATACAGTATGGAAGTCTATAATCGTGTTTTACAAAAGACGAAGACATGGTTGAGTGAAAGACAAAGTGAAGTTTAGATGTTAGCACAAATTTGTGAAAATCAAAATAAAAGCAACACAGAACACATGGGTGCTAAAAACTGCACTTAATCTACCAATACCCAACTACTAATATTTGGTATACTGTTGTGCTGTAAGTAAATATTATTGTATTTACTTACAGCACATACAATAATATTTGCTGTATTACGTCATGCTAAAATACGCTTGTTTCTTAGCAAGATGCACAGCATGGCAATTCCTCGTTGCAATTCCTCTGGCAACGAGGAATTGCCAGAGCTGCAAAGAGCCGCGTCGCTGGTAAGGCGTTCCCTCACGGAAGACACCGCCTGGTTCCTTCTTTACCTCGCCTGGACGTTTATTCGCATAAAAAACTCAAACACATAAAACTTTATTAGTAAATCAGCAATCTAACAAATCAAAAAGATTCAAAACAAAGTAATTCCTAAGTGTTGTATAAATCAAAAAGATGTAGGCTGAAGCAATTCGGCTTATATGTGCCTGTCCTTAAATGTTCATTACAAAGAAACCATTTCCCAGAAAACACAGAATCAACAGTTAAATCCAGACAAACGAATCAAACAGACATATTAAAATCTACGTAAATCGCCATGACGAAGGTTTCAATCAGATTTCAAATATTCAAGTCCCTTAACAGTTTTCTATGTTGACCCTGCTTGCTAAGAATGAGGCTGCAACATTCGAAAACATTATTCAGTCTTTCTCCAGCAATTTTCACATGTGAAACAATGCAATGCTTCACGTGTGATGAAAACAAGAGACAGTCAATAACATAGTAAACAATGGCCTCTGGAAATCTATTCAAGGAAAATACCTACTTTTCCAGTTACTGAACACTTACAGGTAATAAGCGGTTTTATTTCCTCTTCACATGGTCTGATTCCTTCCTGAGCTGTTGTCACTTTGTGAAGCGTTGGTTATCTAAGTTTCAACTTGTGATCTCTTCCTCTTTTGTAATACTTTGAGAAAATGAGTTTTCCACTTTAATGAGGTAAACTTTTGATACAGCAGTAGGCATACTAATCTATCAAAGTCTTGATTGGAGTAGTTAACTTTAATCTATAGATATTGAAAATGGCTGTTTTCACTTCTGCAAATATGATAAACAGCATGTAATGTTTATTCTAATGAGCAATAAGGTACTCAATTCTTTGCCCAGTGTTGTTACATTTCTGTTTATTACATTCTGTACCCATGCCAGGGTTTTCTCAGAGGAAACAGTGCTGTCCATTCCTAGACTGGTCCTGTGCACTGCAGTTCAGCTGGCTGAAAATTGTGACTTCACAACTTAAGCCATAGTTAATGTGAGGGACCTGACTCAAACGTGGACAAAAAATGTTCAAAGTAGAAAAAAGTTTCAATGTAATTCTTCAAAAAAAAATCATTAACAAAGCATAAAGATTTAAAGCAATAAATCAAAGCTAAGTAACAAATTTGGATCCAAATTGACTGAGGTCAACTGAACTCTAACTGTACACAAACAAAACTGACCTACAAAGAATAAAAGGCTGCTTAAATAGGGGTGGAGTAACCTAAATTTACCACGAGGGAGGCACAACATAACAAAAGGACAAATAAATACAAAATTAACTAAAGCATCCTATGAAACAAATAAAGCAAAACTAACTTTAACTTAGCACAAATAATAAGCGAATATTTATTTAAGTGACGAAATTAAATAAAAATCAACTTGAAGTCTCCCCCCCTTCAGTCTTTCAGAAAATGGATTAATCCAGGTTCCTCCTCCAGCTGGTTTATATCAGCAGCACCTCAAATAAGTGTAAGTAAATCAGTCAGACAGACATTAACTAAAGTGTGCACCCATTAGATGTCTTGTATGTCTAAATGAAATGACTAACTTAGACTATAAGCTATACTAATAAAGAAGAAAATACTAACACGATGTGGTGGTGGTAGGAGCATCCACCAGATAATTTAATCTCAACTTTTCAACACAATGACCGTGTGTGCATTTTGGGGATGACATGTAAGAGGTTTTTAAACAACTTTAATATATTGTGAGAATCTTGAACCAGAACATCTTTTTTCCAACTAAAGCTGCTTTATTCCTCATGGCAATTTTTTTTCATAATCTTTTATAATCTCTAATTATAATCCATTTCATAATCCTCGTTTTCAATAACCGAAGTGAACAAAACTTAGGAACCTTTAAAATGAAACTTTCCAAATGACAAATCTTTTAAGGACCCGACATCCAAATGAAACCAACCATTTATTAGTCATATTACATCCTGGAACACTCAGTTAGATAAAGTGCAAGCACAACTTTAAATGTCTTCTGTGAACAGTGACAGTCTACAAAGTGCAGTGTAGTAACAATAATAAGTGGAAATGGAGCAAATGAGATTAAAAAAAGATTTAATAAAACATACAGACTGAAACAATGGAGCAACAAAACCACAGAGGAATTATGTTTAGAAAAAGAAATCAAGAATCTGTATAAACTGAATCATTTGAAGAGATGCAGTTGGAAGTTTGAATGTTGTGGGTAAAAACATGCAATTTTGTGGGACAAATCTATAAATATTCCAAATAGAAAGCTGGCCCTGCTAGTGAAGAAACTTCAAACTGTAAAGCAAAAAACAACTTTAAAGTGCTTCTCTGTCTAGGACTCCTGCAGCCACTGCCTTCACCGTCTGATTTATGTACACAGCATCGTTTTTCAACACGTCTTCATTTGTAAGTACACTTTAATAAGAAATATTAACATTTCACTTTCAGCTGCATCATATCCTAGCTTGAATTATACAACAAAGAAACAGAAGTAGCTTCTTAAGAACTAACACCCAGTAATAATATTGCTCTGGAAGAATGTGACACCTGCAGCACACAAATAACTCAATTATCCTTCCATAAGGTTAAAGCTGTGATTAAGAAGTTATATGGTAATAATGAAACCCCCCTTCAGAAAAAAAAAAACTCTTGGACCATGTTTTTTTTTAGTTCACTACTAAAAGTCCTTCTCAAAGGTGAAGATCAAATCCTTCAACTTCACCTTTTATACCGAAGGATTGTATGAAACCAGGTCATTATAGCTAAAGATACAACCTGCACTGTTTAAAATGAACTACTGAAGGAAGAGACACAAATTGATTCTCACTGACCTAAAACTGATTTCTTGGATTGTTGCTTTAGAATTTATGTTAGCAACTCCTTATTCACAGGAGGGAAAACAGAAATAAGTAACACTCTGCACAATATCAGGAAAGATATTCAGAAACTGGAAAAAAAAAATTAAAAAATACACCACCACTTAAAAATGAAGCATCTGGACATCCAGAAACAGCTTCTCTGACCTTTACCATGCGTTTCTATATTATTCTTTAAAGGAGGGCAAGAGTCTGGAAAGAAAGGACTAAATAAATACTATTAAAAGGTTTTTACAGGGTAGAAAAAGTAGACCTCCGGTAGAAACACACAGCACAAGGGTCTACATATTTTCCAGCTTTGAGATAATTCAACTTTGCTCAAAGTGAACACGGATTCACTGCAAAATAATTCAAATCAAAAGAAAAAAAAACAGCAACAATGAACTGCCTTTAATGGAGTAACTCCCATGAACAAAAAAACAAATACATACTTTGGAAAAGTAATATTAATATGTTACAACCACAAATTTCAAAGTATTTTACTTTTGTTATAATTGAATACAAAGTAGCGTATAATTGTGACATTGAAGGAAAATGATACAAGGTAGTTAAAAATTATGGGGTGGATTTCTATTTAGTCCCCTTTAATCTAATGCCCTCAAATAAAACCCGGTTCCAACAAGTGCCTTCAGAAGTTGTCTGATTAGTCAATAGTCAACCTGAATGTAAATGAACCATAAATCCAGCGGGAGGCTGCATCAGAGAACAGAATTATGAAGACTAGATGTACAAATACAAAACCTGTAGATTTTCTATATTCTACAGTCTAGAAAAGATGTGGAGTTGTAGCAATAAGAGGTTTATCAGGGGAATTTAATGGAAATGCACCTGACATTTTTACGTTTTATTTCAATTAATCCTTCCTCTTCACAATTACACACTACATTGTGTTGACCTATGAGATGAAACTTTGACATAACATACTGGAGTTATGATATGACAAAATGTGAAACGTTTAATGGAAGGTGGGTGAATATGTTTATAAGGCACTGTACAGTGGATGATCAAATCATAAGAAGATCAGAAGATTTCAAACTGGGAGAAGAGTGGCAGTGGAGAGAGGAAGAGCTCTGAAAGATGATGCATTTCACTGAACACATAAGTCAGATTTTCTGAGTTGTAGGAGTAAAGAAGTTGCTTTTTTACACCATCCACTCAAAATCCAACATGGCTGCTTCATGCATGAGGAAAGCTGACGGTTGAGCACTGTGATTGTTCAAAAACACAAAATTCTCAAGTATTTTTGGTCTAGTTTCTAGTGCAAATATCTTAGTACACACAAAATAAGACAAAAGTAACTTACAAGTAACTTTCCAGCAAGATAATATGAGCTTGTTTTAACCAATTCCTTAGTATTGATGAAAAAGTTATAGTTTCTCTAGCAGATTATTCCATTTTTAACAAGACATTTTTCCCATGTTATAAGTGAAATAATCTGCTTTACTTTTTCATAAATATTAGGGAATTATTAACTTAAATCAAGGCCCTATGTCTTGTTGAAAAGTTACTTACAAGTAAATTTTGACTTATTTAAAGTACACTAAGATATTTACACTAGAAACCAGATCAGAAAGATTTGGTGAAATGTGTTTTTGCAGTGAGGTAATCAACTTTAGCTTGTTTCTTCTGTCAATTTGTCCAGGAATTAGTGAATGTTCTGTTCCAGTGACTGAATGCACAAAATGCAGTATTCTGTGTTTTCTCCTCGTGTCAGTAATAATAGTTACGATTAGCATTGAGCTGTCAGAACATAACTTACTGCTTTTCTCTCTTTCCCCTGGAACACGGTGGAACTAGAGGGTTTTAGATCTGACTCATGAGGCCAATGGAATGCAACACAACCAGCAGCACAATGACTACAATACCCATGAGCACCGAGTGTGCTTTGAGGGCGACATCCAACAGACTGATCCTGAGGCTACAGGTATCTGTAATCAGAAGATGTCGGGACACATTTCCCAACTTCCCTGTTCCTTGGCGTCCCAGTAGCCTCCCTTGT